CCCTCTCGCTCACCATGCCCTCCGCGTTGGCTGGGGCCCCGGGGGCAGGCCTGCACTCAGAGGCATGGCCGTGGCACAGGCAGCTGCCTCCGGCCACGAGCTCACAGAGGGCATAGTAGTAGAAGGGGTGTCCCCTGAGGCCCCCCGGGGGCCTGTCACCCAGGGTGTGCAGTTTGGAGAAGTTCACACGGAGGTTAGTCACGTGCAGGAGCTCTGGAGACACAGATGGAGAGGCCTCAGGCGTACTGGTCCCCCCTCCACGGCTGGGAGGGAGGGGGGAAGAGGGTGTCTCCCCTTTGTCATCGCAGCCACCTGCTCCAGCACCCCTGCTCCTCAGGGTGCGCGTCAGGACGACCTCATGTGGCAGTGCCGCCTCTGCACGGCTCCAGCCCCGATACCACTCCTGAGCGGAGCCCTCTGCGTCCCCTGCTCCCTGGACACCCCGTCTGCGTCTCTGGATACTTGAACCTGCCTCCCCACCTGTCCTCCAAGCCCTGTGGGCACTAGTTTGTCAGCTGTCTCTCTCACTTCATGCCTGCTCCCCGCCATGGCCCCCATTCCTGGCCCACGACTGCTCCCACGCTTGTGCCCACTGCATAGGGCCTGGCGTGGGCAGGTTTCCATCTCTGCCCCATCCCTGCCCAGACGTCGCCTGCCACGCAGCGGGGCCCTTGCTCAATGCACAGGCGGATGGTCCGCGGCTCCTCCTGCTCCACAGCTTCAGGGGCCTGGCCAAGGCCACCCCCTATGTCTCTCCTTTGCCAGGTTCCCCTGTTCTCCTGATCAAAGGAATGGGCAGCAGCTGCCCCGGGGCCTAGGGTGGGGTTCAAGGCGAGCAGCTGGTATCACAGTCCCGGTGGGTGGAGAGTGTGGAGAAAAAGCTCATTTGGGTTTGTCCTCCTGCTGTGTTACTGCCTGGCTGGCTCTGGGCCACCCTGTTGAATTATGTGTGTGTCTCTCTCTCTTTTTTTTTCTTGTTTTTAAAATATATTTTTACTGATTTCAGAGAGGAAGGGAGAGGGATAGAAACATCAATGATGAGAGAGAATCATGGATCACCTGCCTCTTGTAGCCCCACACTGGAGATTGAGCCCGCAACCTGGGTCGTGCCCTGACTGGGAATCGAACTGTGACCTCCTGGTTCATAGGCTGACGCTCAACCACTGAGCCACACTGGCCGGGCTCTCTTGCTCTGTAACAGGCTTCTGCTTCACAAGGTCAGCCCCAGAGATGCCCTGGGGTCAGCTAGAGGCAGCTGCGGGGCGTAGGGCACCGACTAGGCCAGAATGAAGACTCTGAGGGGAGGGCAGGGGCCGGGCCGTGATGGGGGCTCACAGGGGAGGGAGGAGGTAGTGACAGGAGCAGAGACATGGCGGCTGGCAGGGAGAGCCGTGACAGGGACCACATGGGCCCCACGAGTCCACTGAGGGGGCAGAGATGGAACTGCTACCCATGCCGGCCCCTACGCAGTGGGCACAGGACGAGCAGTGAGGGGGCAGGAACGGGGGCCACATTAGGGACCACAATCGAGGACCGTGAAGGGGCAGCTGGAGCAGGATGCTGGGGGACTGAGCTGGCTCGCCCACCACCTGCCTCCCTCCCCTCCCCCTCCCTCCGCGGGACCACCCCTCCCCCAATATCTGCCAGCCTCACAGGCAGGGAGCGCAGGATTGGCTGAGAATTACCCTGAATCTCGGGCTTGTGTGGGTTCTCCACCAGAATGGCGGGGTCCAGAACCTTGAAAACGACCTGAGGAAGAAGCAAGCCTGAGCCTCTGGCCTGACCTTGCCCCTGGTGGAAGGCTCGATGTCTGAGTAATGCTGGTCACAGACGGGATCGCGGACACTGTGGCCCGGGGCACGGGCGATGCCACGGAAGAGGCCGGAGCAGTTGTGGGCAAAGTACCGGTACACGTGCCAGGAGCGGCCACGGTCCACCGAACGCTTGAGGGCCAGTGCCGATGGGCGGAAAGTCTGGGGGCAGGAGGGGTCCTCAGGTTACCAGGGGTGGCCGTCGGGACAGGAGGCACACGGCCAGCCTTCAGGCCGGGGCACCGGTCACCTTGAAAGTCATGATGAGGTGGGTGAAGTAGAACGCGCTCTCCAGGTCTAGCTGGATGGTGACGTTCTCAACACCTGCAACCACAGACCCTCACACCCAGGTACACCAGCGCCCTCACTGCTCTCAGCTTGCCACCAGGTCTGGTTGCCACGGGGACCACTCCGGGATATCACATTCTCAATGCCATGGCCACCCCGTTCCCGGGAGTTGCAAAAGAAGCAATTTTCAGAGTCCTGGGGGAGTGTCGAAGGAGAGGGGGGTAGGAGGCGCATGGCGGTGCCCCCACTCCAAAGCTTCACAGCTCCGGCCTCTGCCTCTAGCCCCCGGTGACCCGAACTCCCACAGGGCCGAGCCCCCCAGGAAGGCCTCCCCCTCCCCTCGGCCTGGGGGTGACTGAGAAGGCAGCAGCCCTCAGGGCCATGGCGTCCACAGGTGGACGAGCTCCGCAGGCTCTGGCCACGACCGACAATCAGGTCGCCAGTGGGTGGGTAGCAGCTGCCGCTCTGGCAACCAGGTGGGGTAAGTGTGTCTGGCACCTGCCGGGCAACTGTTCTGGGAGCCTGGACTGGGAGGGGGAGGGTCTGAGTGGGGATCCTAGAGGCACCCCCTCCAACCTCACCCCGCCGGGCAGCCTGAAGACTTCTCCCCTCCAGATGACTCAGAGGAGCCAACTCCTCACCCATGGGTGGCAGCAGCAGCAGCAGCACAGAAAGGAGGGGGCCTAGCCCAGCCGGGGGGCCAGGGCGGTGGGCGCTGGAATCAGGCCTGAGAAAGAGGATGAGAGTGGGCCCCACGCTGGCCCCCCTTGAGCAGCTGTGTGGCCCCTGGGCCAGTCCCCATACTCACATGGTGGGTGAAAGCAGGGCTGTGGGCCACCATGCAGCGGGGAGCAAGGGGGTCCCCGAGGACGTCCCGCCCAGGGGAAGGGCGCAAGGTGGGGAGGAGCACAGGAGCTCCTGCAGGCCCAGCCGCAGCCGCCAGTGCAGCCAGGGCTCAGACCAACCCAGACAGAAAAGGCCGATTCTCATTCAAATGAGGCTCCCACCCCAGCCCTGAAAGGCTGTCTCCAGGAGCCCCTGGGGAATTCCTCCCCCGCCTGCCCCAACCCCTGCCTTCAGGCTGGGCAGCCAGCAAGACTGGCAGATGGGCAGGGAGCTGGTTTTGTTCAGGGCTCAAAGCCCAGCCCCCACTCCAAAGCAGGAAAGCTGATAATGTCGGACACGTCCAGGCCGGCTGAGGCCTGAGCTGGACTCGGGAACAGACTGAGCACCTGGAACCCGGTAGAACGCACTGCTCACGGGGGCAGCCGGGGATGCAGCATCCACCGACCCGAGAAAACTGCTTCATCAGGGAGGGCAGACTGTGGCCCTACAACCCGCAGCTCTGACCTCTGACTCCACCCCAACTCCTTAACTGGGGAAATCAAGGCTGGCCACTCTTCTGGCAGAAGCAAGGGGAGGAGAGGCAGAGGTACGCAGGTCATTTGGGGCCAAAAAAAAACCCAGGCAAAGCCAAAAGTTTCAGCCAAAGCCAGGCTGGAAGCCAAGGCCAGGCTGTCTGCACCACCCCTGGGGAGCAGGACCACAAAGCCCCTTCCCTGACCTAGAAACTGGCAAGGTGCCTGTTTCCCCCAGCTCCCCGTTTTCCTCCCACATGGGGTCCAATCTGGGTAACAAACCACCTGAATGGCTCTGCCCTTGCCCTGAGGAGCCCCTGCACCAGAGGGCAGGGTACCCAGAGGGCCTGGAGGCTGCCTTCCCGTGGTGTCCCCTCACTCACATGGAGGCCCCGCCCTCGGCTACCAGGACCCCTCACCGCACCACACACACAGACACGGACGCAGGCAGGGAGCCCGGGAGGTGGAAAGGTATAAAACGTGATGGATGGAACCGCGGACGTACAACCTGAGGAGCAGCAAGTCACAGTGATCGCCCCCCTCCTGCCCCCACCCTCCGGTCCGGAAGGCTGGTGGCTGCCAGGGCCCTGGAGAGGCACCCGGGGTCTTCAAGGTTGTGGAGTCCACAGGCATTGCACACTGCGCCACTGACCACACGGACAGCTGGACTTAATTCCCCCAAACACTGCTGGGTGAAGTCAGGGTACTGGGTACGGCAGCAGCGGCTGGAGCCGGATCACAGGGGATAGGTTCACACGGAGGGCACGCTGAGCCTGCTGCCGCACTTCGTCGTCCGAGGACCGCTGGTCCACCTTGAAGGCCCGGAATGTCAGTAGCTTGGATGTTCCAAGGCGCAGGCGTGCCTTCGGGGACCGAGCCCCAAGCCGGGCTCTCTTCTGGGGAAGATGATCTTTTGCCTCCTCAGTCCTTTTCCTCTTCTGCCCCCCAGTCCCAGGGCTGCTCTTCTGGCCTTTCCTCGCAGTCCTGGCCTGAACAGACCCTTTCAGCCGGCCCCGGCCCCGGCCCCTGGGCTGGGTCCGAGCAGCCTTGGCCTTGGCCCGCGCTGCCTTGGCTTTGGCCTTGGCCTTGATCCATGCGGCCTTGGCCCTGGCCTGCGCTGCCCTGGCTTTGGCCTTGGCCTTGGCCCTGGCCCGCGCTGCTTTGGCCTTGGCCTTGATCCATGCTGCCTTCGTTTCTGCCCGGGCCTTGGCAGCTTTGGCCTGAGTTTGAGCCGCTGTGGCCTGGGCACAGGCAACTCTGGCTAGTGTTTGAGCTGCCTTGGCCTGGGCTGTCTTGGTGCTCAAGGCAGAGACACCTTTCATTTGTGGGCCAAGGAGGGATCCAGTGGCTTTGCAGGTCTTGCTCTGAGGCCCAGCGCTTTCTTGGGGTCCAGCACTGGGGCCCCTGCGAATCACACACTTAGGGCCCTTGCTGGTGACTTTCCTGTGAACCGCCAGCCCCTTTCCGGGACCTTCCCGCAGCTTCAGGGGAGAGTCTGCAAGGGAGAGCTGCAGCGACTGGGTCTCGTGCTTGGCACCCAAGTGGGGCACGGGAGTCTTGAGTGGAACCAGGGCCTCTAGGACAACGGAGAGCCGCATGGCAGGGTAGACACCTGGATAGAGGTGGGTGGGGAAGCCCATGGCCGTGTCCCGGGCGTGGCTGGCACTGGACTCCTTCAGGGAGCTCAGCAGCAGGTTGGTGGCAGCATGCTTGGCGAGGGCTGGTGTGGACGCCTTGGCCAGCCTGCCCGGCAGCG